ACTTACGCTTACTTATATATTTATTACTTCGATTTTAGATGAGTTTAAAGTAAATAGAACACAAAGGTAAAAATCACTCGTTAAGTATTGAAAAACCTCATACCAATCGCATTGTATTATCGGCTTCGTCTGTATTATGTATATAATTTTTCGTACTGAGCTAGCGGGTATCCTTTTTAGCAAAGTAAACCAAATACTCAATGATCTGCTTGACTAAGCTAAATAAATCAGATATTCGCATGAAAATTCAGTTTCTTGGTGTAAATTAATTGTAAAATTATTTAATTTCAACAAAGTAGTTAACAATTGAAGGGAAGGGGCTGAATCTAGGTTTAAAGTACATTGAATTAAGTTTTTAATATTTGGCTATTTAAAAAAAAAATATTCATACTACTTAAAACTAAAATAGATGTCTTTTAGCGTTTTTTTATATTGGGTGCCGACAATTATTATTTTCCTAATGATATATTATTAGGAAAACAAGATATATCCTTTAAAACAAGTTTACCTTCTGTGTCTGACACGAGAAACAATTTTGGGTCAAAGACTGTTTTCAGACTGATTCTACTGTTTTCCTCCGCCCCATTAGTAAAAACACAAAAAATAGAAAAAAAGGATAAAAATAAAATAAACACAATTCAAATAAAGATTTAATTACAATCGTTACATAATTTTAATTATATGAATAGGTACATATTTAGACATATCTATATAGGACATTTAATATTAAGAAATTGTATTCGATTTGGTCACAATTTATTTTTAAACTGAGTCTTATACAACAAGCCTCAAAATATTGCAGTTAACATGTGACCTACGATACAAGAGTCCGACAGACAATCTTATAATTCAAATTAATTATAAGATTGATTTGATTTAATTAAATGTTCAAACGACGATGTTCAGTTGTTACCTTAGTTATATAAACTAAACACTCAAAATCAATTACATTAGAGGTTTCTGTATCAATCAATCAATCTTTAATTCACTTTGAACAGAAAAGTATATATAGGCTTTATAAACCTCAGTTCAAAACCTTCCGCGATCGCAGAAAGAAGTCCTGGCCCATAGGTCACGTATAAAATTGTAAATTACATTAAAATGTAATGTTCGATGACAATATATTAATATTCCTACATATATTTGACATAAACACTGTTCAGAAACGTACTAAAAGCCTCAATTAGTTAAATAATATTTCGTCACATTTTGAGTGAACACAACTGATATTTTGAGATTTAGTTCGTTTGTGAAGTCCTTTGAGTGACAGTATATATAACAAAATCAGTAACTACTGAACACGGGCCCTTTAAAACAATCATAAGGGGACTCGGTTTAGTGCTTTCTCTGAATAATATTAGTATTAGCTATATACAATTTAACTGGACTTCACCATAACTCTATATGCAGCTTTTGGTCATAAATAATTTATAAGCGATTTTAAGTGTATTTTAAAATAAAATTGCACTAAGGAAATTAACTAAGGAGATTGTGAACTTACATTTATAAATATGTGAATTTTGACTGATTACATAAATGCATTGGAATCTAATGTAAAACCTGAATTCTTCATAGCTTATCGTATAGCCTTAGAAATAGGCTTAACACCGAAAAGAACTTTGCCAGTAAAATATATATACATGTAATCTAATAATACTTTTAACAATATTTATAAAATTCGTTCAGATGCCACGGAACTGCATCAATGTGCAAACTGCATCAAAAGCATTAATTACTTTGTACATTTAATGTGAAACTAAAATAGAAAATCTACATAACTTTACTTATATACAAAGACAACAACATGAAAGTCGACGATTGCTTACACAATTCAACAAAAATAATACGTCTTACACGGAGATTTTAACAATTAAAAAATTATACACCTTACGTCGAAATTATATGGAAGAACAAAAAAAATAGGATGATACTCATCAGGTTTTTCCTAATTAATTTACAATATTTCTCTAATCAACTCCACAAGACCTTTCAATTTAGTTTTCTATAAATAATTGGATAATATTACATCCACAATATTCTTAATTCTATAAAAATACTGAGCAATGATTGATTTTGATACAATTTTACTTTCTGAACAGTCAACAGCACGACGCATTAACAAAGCATTTCTAACCAACCAGTACGAACTCCAATTTCAAAATTCAAGGCTCTCTAGTATATCCGCGTTATTTCTTTAAAATACATAAAGAAGTCTCATTACGAGATACGTTCTTTGATACTGTACTTACAAGCTTTTCAGATATAAAATATACAAATACGTAATTGCACGTGCTTTATTTTCAAAATGATTAACAAAAATGTACGAAAACTATTATATATTCGTGTTTATTATCGAAGTGTCGTTTCTACGTCGTTTGTGGTTGGGATTTATGGAAACACTGTGCCACTTAATTGTCCTTTAATAGTTGACGGGGCTTCCCCGCAGCAGCCCAGCTTCCACTTACTTTATCTGAAACAAGGTGGGATAATAATTAAAAAAACGTTGCTATTGTATAGTTTCATTCCTCATCTCTAAGTACAAACGAAAAAGACACTATTTTTTTGCTAAAGAATACATTTGTAGCTTTTAAAACTCTATTAAGAAATGCAACAAACTGCGGTAACTTTTACGAAAGAATTAAATACCAAAATCAATGTTTTAATAGAAAACAGACAATTAAATCCTAATCTCAAACGGTATACCCAAAATTCAACCATAAAAACAAGGAATTATCGAATCCAAGATAGCCCATTCTGTAGCCCTCAGCGTTCACACATAACGGCTAAAATAAGAATAAAACTTAAAGCAATCGAGACGAGGTGACGAAACGCTCAGTCTCATTATCTGAGAATTTATTAACGAATCGGTCCGACCGGAAAACCGAAATGTGAAAGAAATAAAAATTCGACCTCGCCCGCGGTCATCTAAACTTTTTTGAAAAAAAAAATATTCGAACAGGTTAGCTGGACTCGCGCCTGAATGAAACCGAGGACCCGGGATCGAGATAAGAGGAAAGATTAGAGTCTCGAAAAAAAGTGGTTTTAATGCGGTTGTGAATGAAGAGCCCATTCAGATCTCGCCCACGCATATTCATCGTGCGTTATCTAAAGCACAGAGTACTATAAAGATCGAGCTTTTGAAGACAATACCAATTCTCACCTACACATATAAGAAAGGTTAATACAACACGTGATTTAGCAAAGCGTTTACAACCCAACAACAATTTTGCAGAAACTCACTTTTTGAACTAAATAAATTAAATCTTCTATCAATATCTATAATCTTAAATCTAAAATACGCTGAAATCTACAGCCAAAGTTCAAAAGATACGTATAGATAACTCTAAAATCATACATTAATATTTCTTAGATCGAATATGTCTAGACCTAAACAAATTATAGAGATTGAATAGACATTATAAAATTCATAATTTTGGAACTAAATTTCACACTTTATAGGTACTCTGTATGCAGTAGCCACACTTAAAAGTAAGCTCACATCCCAAACAATGCTTATTTGAGAGTAGTTTTTTGTCCGTAGAACAATTCCGATTATTCAAATGAGCTGTAGTGAATGGAATTAGAGCTAGGTGTGTCTGTATACAAAGGATTGACGATTTTACTCTTGTTAATCATGAATTATTTATATCAGCGTAATAATACTTAAGTGTTGTGTAAATAATACTTTTAACTAAGAATCTTTGACTACGTGATTTATGTCATAAATCATTTCGCGTTTATATTCGTCAAAGAAGTTTCAATTAAATAGATATGAAATGTTTTGTCCTTAGCACTGTGTTGATTTACAAATACATAATATGCAATTAAATAAGGCTATTATATAGGCAGACCCTTGCCCTAACTAGCAATTTTTTTCTAGGTGTTTTATTGTGTTAAAATTTACCGCATTAGTAACTTTGTATCTTGGTTTTAGAATTCTTCATTGTATCTTATTTATTGCAGTATAAATTAAATAGACATAATCGTTTTGGTAGCATTATTTGGATTAAATAAAAACGACACAGGTATGTTATTTAAGCCGAATAAGAACTGTCGATTCGAGGCATTCTTTTTGGGACTCCTTTAAAGGGATGCCGCGATAAGGAGTTATTTTCGCGTCAAGGAATTCGCTGGGCAAAAAGGCGTGAAAACCAAAATAATACAAAAAGTTATAGATGTGAATTTGTGAGCGTTTGCTTAAAACAGAATTCTTTGCGAAGCCACCGTGTGGGGCGCTGTCGTGGTCGCAATTTATTGTAATGAGACAGATACCGCGGCTCCTTCTGAGAAATCCTTTGGCGACTCTTAGAAAAATGCGACTAGATAAACGGAAATTATAAAACTACGGCAAACCTGTTATGGTTTATGTATTTCTTGTTGTGGATAACGTTGAAGATTATCTAGGTATAAAGACATGTAGGCTATTAATCCGCGAGGATTTAATAGATAATTAGTCTTTATATACACGATTATATATTTTTACATACTAATTTTCTGTTCCGCAAGAAAAGATTAATTTTATTGTAGTCAAATTATTGAAGTTACGGTAGTGGTTGTAAAATTTGGTACTAATAAGCAAAAAAAAACAGTATGTGAGAATGTTATAACTACTAAATCTGCGCTAGTATTACTACGCTACAAAAGAGATGTTTAGTTTTAGCGGGTCACTGTTCTGCGCTCACGTAGGAGTTTGTTTCACGTCGTTTGACACTGACAAATGACACGAGATTGCAATCGCCTCCTCACCCCTCGCGTTTCGACGCGCTTCCATTGTTTTCAATTACCAACATGACACCGGCGCAAGCTCCATTACGAAACCGCAACTCTGTTTATGGCCTTTTGGTATCTTTACTACGATCATCCATTTGTGATCGTCTTTACTTATATAATTTTGAGGCTTTATATACTTTTGTACAGTGACTATGTTCGTGTAGAATCACATTTTTTAGAGACACGCCCTACGTCGAAGACTTCACGTGTAAATAAAAAAAAGAAAATATTCACCTCTTATAAAACGGTTTAAAGGCTGCTGATCCCTCGTTGTGATGCTGGTTCGGTTGATGATTGTTCGTGTGATGGGGATTGTGGTAGGGGTCACGCTGTGGTGATTGCTGGTGCCGGGGGAAGCAGTAGCCAGAACCACCACTACCAAGAGGGTTGGCGACACTGTGCACCTTCATATTGGGGGGTGTTTGGGGTGGCGTATCCGTTTGCACATCGGGAAATGCAGCTGGATGTATGCAGGGATGTTGCCCGCTGTATTGGCCACCAGGGAAGCCACCGTATCGTCCGTAGGACCCACTCGCAGGGCTTGCTGCAGCCGTTGCGGGCAAGACGAATCCGTTAGAACTGCCATCGGCTGGAGGCGGTCGTTCGGGTCCATAACCATGCTGAGGCCAAGGTTGAGCGGCTGGTGGTGGAGTTTTACACGCCGCCGTATCAGCCAGTGACCAAATTTTCGGCTTCGAAGCAGGTATAGGCACGCCACACTCGGAGGGGCCCCGCTTTGATTCTTCCTTTATCCCGTATCCGAGTAGCTGGCTATGCATCCCTTGCAGCAGATCATCCTTCCGCTCCTCATCTGAAAACAACAGAATTCACGTTCATATTCCCCGTGTGTACAAGCGGATTACTCGCAATAGCCAATACCGTAACGCCATAACTATAAAAAAGAGCTTAAAGTACTGTTCCGAAATCGATACGATTCGCATTGTATCCGACGTGACCATTACACCGGGGACGTAAGTTTTAGCTCGTAAGATGTAGCCGTATCTGCTCCCTTCGGGAAAGTCGTGTGAAAATACGTTTGGCGTGCAGTGACCCATTCGTTAAGTGGTTATCCGATTAGCGAAGTGAAAATACCACTTTGGGGCGCGACTCCCCCGCCGCGGGCGCGCTCGATCCCTTTCACATTTAAGCTGAGCATTTATTTCGCATTTCCCGGCTCGCCCCGCGGCGCCGCACTCCGCGGAATGTGCCACACAATTAATGGTCAACCTCGCATCTCGTCCTCTCTATTTTGCCCTTTGTGGAAACATTCACATTTTTTATCGTTTGAAAATGAACATCATTTAATTCTATTTTTGTCACATTTTTGGCGCACCATGTTAAATAGATATAAAATCAACCTGTAAAAGTATAAATAATCGTTTCAGACCCAATACAAATAAAAATGGACGGCATCACGTCGATACTTACGTTTTTAAGTATTATTCCGACATAAACATCAAACTGAAAGAAGGGCCAGTACGAAGAGGCGATAACATAAAAATAAAGCAAATTTTTCATTTGAGGCGGATATATTTTACAATTAAGCCGAAATTCAGCAAAATTTTATAAAGCTCTAAGTATTATCATAATACCATTTGCCGTTGTAAAGTGGCTTTCGGGGTGAGAAGGGCTCGGGGTGCCTAATGAAATTCGGAGAGCCGGAGCTGCGGGGGCCTCGACCGCGCGACTTCATTCGCTTTATTCCATTTAATGCTGACTGCTCCTAGCTTTTAAGAGGGGTTATACTCGTTGCCCTTCACGAGGGATAAATAGGGATGCCAGTGATACTTCGCGCGAAGATATTTATCCGGCAAATTGTTTTAATTTTCATTGTATTAATCTAATAGAGGCTCACAACGCCGGGAGATAAGCGGTAATTTGATTATTTTGTAGTGTTCAATACGTTTAGTGTATACAGCAATTATCTGGCAAATTATAATTGTTTTACTTGCCGATGTAATTGTTTAGTTTTGCGTATACCTTTATTTTTGGTAACTAGTTTATTATGAGTGTGATGTTAATAGTTTTTTCTCATTTGATTCTTGATTGGACAGCCGCGGAAAGGTTTTGAAAGTTATATTAAATAAAAGGTAAATTTGTTAATACATTGTTTTAAAATTTTAAATTTGTTTTACGTAGAAATGTCTTTCCGTGTTTTTTTTATGTCCACCAAGAAAACTACCATTCCGAAGTCAGTACACATGTTGTTTCATTGAATAAAAAGAATTATCTATAATGTACCTACATGGATAGTACAAACCAAGTCTATTCCGTATCTTAATCTAAATCAGAAAATCAATCGTGTGGTCTCATTTTTAGCAAATTAAAACGTTATCACCAGTATGCAAACAAAATGGTCCCCTTTATCGAATATGCAAATGATAGATTTATCCCGCGGGCGTCCGGGGCACGTGAAAATCGAACTCGCCGAGCCTCTGCCTCAAATGGTTTTCCCCTTTAGTCACCGAAGCCAGGGGCGAAGTGAGACATAATAAAAACTCGTCTCGGTAGTGTGGGGAGACCCCCCCCCCATCCCCCCTTCACCACAGTGCACTTAAAGCAAGGCCACTGCAATTTATTACATCTCGAGCGACGTCCAGTGACACTTGTTTGTTCTCCTGACTCGTTTTCCATTAACGCGCGGGATTAATATTTTGTTTGCAATGCGTACTTATGACAAAAATTAACATTTATCGGTGGGGTCCGATTGCTTTTATTCATGAGTGGCTTAGATAGTTGTGATGTTTGTCGTTCTAGGGAACGCGTGTGAAAGCTTTTATAGATTGTTTGCAGCGACTTAAAATGATATATTACACGTCGTGAACATTGACATTTTTGTAGAATTGTGCGTTATGCATGTCGGTTGTCCGTTATGGTTTGTTTGGTTAGGCGCTGGGAATCGCGTGGAGATGTCGGGATTAGGTTTAGCGGATTAAAATTTCCTTGTTTGGACAACGTGGCTATTGAATTTGCAAAATTATTTTGTGACACATTTTAATCGGATATCATTGTTGGCTTTGGAATATTTCTATGCGTAAGCCTTTAAATCAACAGGTCTTGGTAACCTTTCAAGATTAAAATAAATAGTACTTATTTTGTTTACTGAATGTCACGTATTCGTCTTGAAACCACGAGGGCCTTAAAATTAAAAGACTATTGACACTACGGATTCTCAATCTAATCTTATATAGCGATTTAATAAAATTGAATAGAACCTTTTTTTATTATGTACTTGCTACGCGTCGTAGCTCCAAATTGTTATTTGTAGCGCTACGCTTCTACGCTAAACTTTTCAATTATCTCTCACCGTAACCATGAATCTTATATTTCAAAAACATATTTCACATACAGAAGTCATTCTTAGTCTTTATGCTTTAACATTAAAAACTATAATTAGTCCCCGATGAATATTAATAATCATTAATTAAAAAAAAACATATACATAATATTGTAATGGGTGTTCTAAGTACGGAAGTTGAGCTTTCGGCACGTGTCTGTAATCCGCAACCATTGTGCCATCTCGCCATATTCGAGCCATTACGAAGGGGGCCTAACAAACATACATTACTGGATTTGATACGTCCTAATGTTATAAAGCGAGAGTCTGTCACGCCGCTAAACACTGATCCGTTTGAAATTGAATTAAGAAGTACTTTTGCCTTTGCTTATAGTATATACAACAAAAAAAATGTGTTATTTGAGTTTTTTTGTTAATTATTTTTGAATTTCTTTTTCATGTTCCACATTAGGGTTGTATGGAAGAAATCGCTTGATAGCTATAAGGCCGCCCGTTGCCTTATAACTTTTGTAACCTGCTTTTTTTATTTTTTTTATGTGTATGTTATTTTTTATATGGTAATAAAGTACCTATAAATAAATAAATATTCATTGTTTATTATATTTTACAATAAAATCTTATTCCTCAGTAGAATAAGATATAAAATCTACTCGAACTGGAAGTTATTGAAATGTTTTTAATGTTAATAACTTCCATTACTACCTTTTACCGTTATAAGTATCGTAATCATGTTATCAACACTTATTTGTGCAATATTTGCATATTATATAAACAAATATGTTACAAGGCAGAATTAAAACTACCATCCGTATCACCTCGACGTCCGTTGTTCCCCAACTGAGCGTTTCTTAAGGCAGTTTTTGCTGCGCACCTATGTGTATGCCCACTGAAGTATTTACGAACCAATTCGACTTAGGGTCCTTCAAGAAAATAGCATACCGAATCTTAAAAGGCCGGCAACGTACTTTCGAGCCTTCTGGCAATGTGTCCACGGGCACACCTAACCACCTATAAGGTGAGCCTCCTGCCCGTTTGCTTCCTTTTACAGTGAAAAGAAACAATGAATAAATAAAATTACATAAAACGAATACTTGACTATAAAACTAAATTCGTCTTAACCGCTTATCAACGCTCGAATGTAATCATAGTTAAATCACGAGTTATTGAATCAAAGTTGAGATGATAATTAAAATGCATCTGCTTGTAATGTATTTTATGAGTTTAACAATTTCCATATAAATATCTAGATAACAATCTTAAAACTTTATTTAAAAGATTGTACATGTTTAGTTGCATCGAATCACGATTTATAAATAATTAAATTAACATAACACTCGTAGGCTTTTATCCGCATTTTCTAACCGTCTAGTTAACTTCCTGTTTGTGTTTTTAAATATATGGTAATTTGTTTAATGCTTCTCATATAAAAATACTCAAGACGTCAGTATTTACCTAACATAATTAATTTATAATCGGTAAGAACATTTTTTTAGTTTTAATGTTAATAGTAATTTATTTAAATTCTTTCGAATTTAATGAACACTGTCGTTTTTAATTGTACGCTTCGCGAGCGATATTTCATCACCCTTTGCCCTCGGCGACGACAATGTCGATTGCGATTTGAGTGCACTTCTTTCCAACAATAGCTAGGTTCATTAGGCAACGTATGCCACGCGTTAGCCGTGACCCCCTCCATTTCCAATGAAAACACTCGGCCAAACCATCTCAGTTGCAACAATGCCTACTTATAATTTATGTTGTTGACAAGCGAGACTAAAAGCACACCCACCGCGTCTGAATTTTATGTCCGACATAATCCACAACATTCACGACACGCGCATTGCGACAACGTAACGTATACCACTAATAACCGTAGCGTAAAATCGGCCTATACTCGATTGGCAAACATTATAAATCCCCTAAAGCGTACTTACTTACGTTCAACGAAATGTCCTCATAAAAGAAACGATCCACGAAGTCGACAAATCCTTTGGCAAGAACATGAAGTAGGGCAGATCGTCAGCCGTACTGAACGGGACCTTCGAATTTCAGCGTACCTACCTACATAACGGAAGGTTTATATGAATTTTGGGTGAGGGCGCCGCCCACTTTACTACAAATAGGAAATCCGGGAGCGAGCAGCGGTTACGCTCAGTTACACGCCTGAGACCGATCCCCGCGTCACAGCCATCCTCCCCCCAGCCCCTTTCCTTACCGAATCCTCTTTCTGGACTTTTCTCTCGTGTTAACCGGATATTGCTTACTTTCATCTACAATTTATTCAACGGTAGTATTAATATTGTTTTAAACAAAAAGCGATCGCTCGGACGTCGCGGTCGAACAAGCATTCTGGAAAAGGCAAATTAGTAACAATAACTGGCGCAATTCACATTCGCATTTCAGTACGCAGGTTAAATAATGGGACAGTAACAATTCGCAGAGCACATCAATAATTCATTGGGACAAAATGTACGCACGAAATATGATTCAACATCCGATTGTCAACGATTTCGGTTTAACGGTATTCGATTTGTTTCGATTGTGGTGTAAACTTTTCAGCGTTAACTATCGGACGTCGAACTGTTAAAAAACTCAACCAACCTTTGCTATTTTTAATTTTCTCGTCTTGTTCCTTCTCTTCGTCGGAGAGCATGGCGTCGTCATCATCATCCGTTTTATTCTTTGGCTCCCAAGTCATTTTGTTTTCCTTCTTGAGTCGTCTCCGTGCGTTTGCGAACCACGTCGAAACTTGTGTCAATGTCATCTTAGTTATGATCGCTAACATTATCTTCTCGCCTTTAGTGGGATACGGGTTTTTCTTGTGTTCGTTTAGCCATGCTTTGAGCGTCGCTGTAGATTCTCGCGTCGCGTTTTTCCTTCTAGCTGCTAAATCGTATCCCGCTCCATATCTGTTGACAAACATAAATTTATCCATATACCTAAAAGGTAAAACGCTTCTGGCCTTTAATCTACACATTCGCCTTACAATTTAAGATCGATGAGTCACAATTTTCAAACGATAAGTAATGTATGTATATATTAAAGATTTTACTACACATTAGTTATGAATAAAAAAACAACTGAATAATACGATGCTGTAATAACAAGGTCTTGTCTAAACCAATTTTATATAACGTGTAAGGTATTGTTCCGTATTTGGTAATACATGGTACATAAAATATTTATTATGCATTTCATTCTCAAAGCGCTTCGTAAAATCGATATTTCGTAACAGATATGAGATAGGCATTTTATTGAGAGTAATAGATGGCGCCGCAAAAATAAAACGGCCTCAATATAGAAGGCCCTCAATCGCATTTGCATCTGAATTTCAAGCGTAATTTTGGGGCGACGTGAATTTCGATCCCTCAGCGTCGGCAGACCGTACCTGGTCTCGATTTCTCCACCGACATGACAAAGGCGAGTCTAGAGAGGGCAATAAATAGGTATTGCGACGGAAAATAGTTAAAAAATAGTCCCCTACGCTCGTATGTTCACACAAATTGATACCTTGTGCGGTGTTTCGAAGATTCGCTGTTGAAGATTTTTGCGCGCGAACATTGTACGTGACACGAATGTTTTGATGCTTTGATTTAGGTATCATTGAACGGCATAACTTTAATGTTGGCGTTTTTGCGGCGTAATAAAGTTGAAGCCGCATCGATTCGAGGTGTCGGCTTTTCAGTGACACGTGAAGGTGATAGAAGGCGTGCACTTGAGTGCATCAGGGAGGTGCAGCGTGGGTTGCGCTTGTGTAGGCGTTAGTGCACACTTGGAATCGATTGCGACGCCATCTTGCGAACCGGCCACAGATTAGGTACAAGTCATCGGATAGCCGTCTAGGTGATATGTCTGTAGCGCTAAGACTTAAACATTGGTTCCTTTATTCGAGGATTACAACATTATTTAAAACGAATTTCTTTTTATATTCCTAGATACATAACTAACCTTTTATCGATATAAGTTAATAATTGTGATGGTTAAAAAACATACAATTTATAACGAATTTCAAGGGACCGAGCCTTTTTTTCGTTTGAGAGAGATTTCGTTATATGGGGAAGAGAAAAAAAACCAAATTTAACCAATAACCTACAATAATTTCTAATTTCATTACTATCAATAGGTGAACTTTAAAGGCTGTTGTTTTATTGGCCATCTTGACAGTTTCAAAGTTTGTTTACGACTGATAATACACGATAGGTGACGGTGGTGCGTTTAGTAACTGAGACCAAAATTCCCTACAGGCAATGTAATCTACGAATAATGGCACACGTCTTAATGCAATAAACAATAACAAAGACGAAGGTTGTTTATGACCTCAGGTGCCTCAGAAATTTCGGCACCTCAAAAGGTTAATTTCGTAGGCTGATTATAAAAACAATTACACTTAAGTATGTTGTTGATGTCTAAATATCACTATATTTCTTCGTTATAAAGAAAGGCTGTTGCGTTATAAATAGTGAATTAATGTATGGGGTTTGTGTTAAGCCAAACGAATGTAACTATTATTACTTTATAAAGAGATTTTCGTTATAACGAATTACGTTATAAAGAGTTTATACTGTAATTATATGAAGTAAATATGAAATAAATTATTAATTTTGTGACCACAAATAAAAATCGAATACCCAATTCTTAAAGTGCATTCAAAATAAGCGTTGAAAACAAATAAATGCTTTTGTCAAAGTAAAATCCACACAAAGCCTTTGAAGCCAGACCACATTAGTTTAACACGAATAAGCTCTTCAGAAATCAGCCCGGATAGCGGTGAAGCGATGTTGAAAAGAAAAGCGTGGCGCTGTAAATATCTCGTTTGACATAGAATGTTTTCAGGGTAGCGGCTTACCACGCTTTCAGCGTTGAAAGCTACGTAATTAATTTTGACAGGCCACTTACGACACTTGCTCCGCAACTGTATTAATTTAGGCAGAATCCATATAATCAATGTAAATATGCTAACAGTAATTTAAAACTGTATATTATTCAGTCCTTCAAATGATTATTTCTTTATGCGGTGTAAAGAAAATTAAAAAAACAATTGATAGTGAGCATCGTGGGTGAATGAAAATAGTAAAATAAACGAGCAACTAGCACTTTACAAGTAAAATATAGCGATATAATGGTTCAGCCATGTTTCCGGGTGATGTATTGGAAAACGTTTGCGGGCGGGCGGTTAGCGCAGCCTCTGTAATACATGGAGGTGCGCATTGAATCCGCGGTATCGCTTGTACGATCTGCCCGCTTGGGGGAATTGCGGCCTACGTGCCCTCCCAACCAACCCGTGCTATGTACCAAATCGTACATAAGTAATTCAACCCCTCCCACCCTCGGGTGAAACGTATTAGGATTCCTTACACAAGCTTCGTAGCGATACGTTTTGCCGTCCGCGCCTTATCAAGACGCGTTAATTATGAACAATCACTCAAGACTGTTCAGGCAGTGGTCGGCCGATTGGATTTATTACATTATTCGAATAAAACTCAATTAAGAAACATTAATTACGCACGACGCGCGTATATATACGTTATCCTCCTAGTTGAACCGACACAAATCGCGTCATTTAAGAGCCGAGAACCGCTAACGAGCGTTCCTTATTCGGTTTATTTAAAATGTAACAGCCCAAATCGTTGGCACACAAATAATTCCCTCAGAACGTCGCCAGCCCGAAGCGCTGTAATTTCCTGCGTATTTTGATCTCAATGGAGCGGTACAAGTGCTCCCTCGACTCTTTTCTCTAATTTTTGTACGTTTTCTGTGCTCGAGAATAATGTTAAAAATAGCTGAGTAATTTTTCATTTCGGCGCTCGGCGGGCGTGGCAGATTACAGGCTGTTCAAAATAATACGGTAACTGTTCTTAGCTGAAGCGCGACTCGAGATTTGTTGGACATTTCCACGGGTGTTTTGTGTTAACATTTTATTGTGAGTCCAATTGTTACAAATTAAGTACTTAGTTTTTTATTCAATTTATTCAGCAAAGATCACCCTATGTCAGTTATAGTAAACAATTGCGTGAGAGTGGAGAATGTGATACATCACGGTGTATTTCCGTGCTCATTCCGTCGGAATCGTTTCGTCTTTTTTACGCATAAAAACTAATGTCTCTCCTAATTATTTTTAGATTATAACGCGCCGCCTGCTATATATTAAGTCGAGCGCAGCCGAATTGTCAGCATAACTTCACTTTGATGTACCATGATTTGTTTTTATTTTCAGTCAGATCTTGATTCATGGATGGATAAATGTTTCAAGTGTGCGAGAAACATAACAAATGTAATGGCGTTACTTCTGTTACAAGCTAGAGTAAATCATATTTGATTCAATTAATCGTTTTATATGCAGATTTACACGGTAATATTTGCGACTCAAAATTCACTCTTATTATTTCAAATACTTATCGTTCCATTTTCGATAGTGAAAAAAAAATTCAGTACAAAAGAAAATGAAAATTATAAATACATTGTTTGCGAAAAACGTCAACTCGACGCGTCGCGCTTTGGATTTTCGAAGAAAAACTGTGAATTAATCAAACCCTAGCGCGAATGGTTGTGGCATCATTCGTCTCTGTCACACTCCGGGGTGGCCGTGTATCAAAATGAGACGACGAAAAACCGGGTGTGGTTACTTGGTCATTTGTGCACGAACGCCAAACACAGCCTCGTACCTTAAACGGCAGTTTTTATTCATACGGGAAATTGCCGATAATCGAGTAAACAGAAAATAAACTTTAAAGAATGGTAATTGTTAGATACCGAGGGTCTTCATTGTACCAATGCAACTGAAAGTAGATAAAAAACAGGCGTCTGCCGTAATAAACTGCATTTTATAGGCATCGACCACACATATCGGTACCACAAAGCTCACAAGATCTGTTACAATACCATTCAGGTTTTTAATTACCCGCCGCTAGAAAAACACAGCAATGACGACGCGACTCAACGATTTATTATATCCTGAATAAAAAATGGTACAGTAAGTATTACAGGCACTCTTGGAAAAGCGTAAGTACGTTTATGGAGTGGACTTTTAATTTATTATTAAGAGGTTCTGGTTTTTAGGTGCATGTTGCAACAAACTGTTGCAAGTGATATTTTTCTTTTAATCACGATACAGGTTTAGTACATCGTAATCTGACAAGTTTCAATTGTATTTTTTATACACAGTGGTGATTTTAATGTAATGCAATATTTAAAAGAATCGACGTACTTTTCGTACAAATATTTAAAGCTTAAATCGTTAAAAATGTGTGACTCAACGATTACATGAACAATAGCATACGGATAAATGAGTGTTAAATACATGAGCCCTTCGCAATGCCTTTATTAAAGATAAAGTTTAGTAAGGGTGTTGTTATATTAATCTGCGCCGCGCTGGCTTTATCTAAAGTGACGTGGCCGATGGGCCTCGTTCTTAGAGACCCCTGGGACTTACCCGTAGGCAGCTAATGTAGGGTCGTATGGGTAGTAGCCGCTAGAGGGTTGAAGGCCTGCTGATGTCCACGCAGACATTTCACCGCCACCTTCTTTCAGGGCGTATGGGTTACTCTGAAAAATGCCAGTAGATTTAAGGTTAGACTAAGAATTTTGCACCCTTAATACACGTTAGAGAAACGATACAGTTCTTTCAAACCCAACCATACTATAAAAACAAACTATAAAGACACATCGACGATATTATATTTCTCAGTACGAGACGTAATTTTCATTTCTCAGTAAAACACAATATCCCTTATCAGAATCAAATCATTTTAAGAAATCGGCACTCAACATAATAACATGTCCACAGAATCGACAACGCGTGTAATATGAGATAAATCACAACACACAATTCCTCTCAGCCAATCGGTTGACAAATACGCCGACTTGAATTTAATTAAAGTTAACTTAATAAAAGGGAATAAACTCATGAACAACAATAAAAGTCCCAAGTGTACGGGCTGACATATCACTAACGCATTTGCATAATGTATGGAAATAGAAGGGAAAACTATTAAGACTCACGCACCCTCGCATCGGATAGTTTAACTGAGGGAACGTACCCTAAGTTATTCGCATACATTAGGAGCAACTAAATTAAAAGTGTGAATGATTCGCCTCGGGACCTCAGCCCTTGTCTGGAGCCCTTTGCGCGCTCTGATAATAAAAAGTATTAGGATACATATGGAATGGTGTTTGCGTCGTGATAACTGAATAGGGAAGCTTATTTGTCCCTCGGTTTTAAGGAAAGTGACGAGATTGTTGTTGCGCTTTTCCTTCGTATTTTGTCATTGTTTGCGGTACGGAGATATGTATGAGGCTGAATTTCAAGGGCTATATGTAATTGAATTCTAAAATTTACGTTTATAGATGTACTATGCAAATGTTTTATACCGGTCAATGGTACAACTTAGTAAATAGATATTAAAGAAAAAATTCGAGCTTCGAGCTTTCGAGATACGATTTATAGTTGCGGGCGAATACAGGCCTGAATAAAAATTACTCTATTTTTGAATAGGACCGAGGCAACTATATATATATATAAATAAATAATTATGATGATGTTCGTTTAGTTTAATTAGTGGTTAAATATCTTAAGTAATCATTATTTATTATGTATTGCATTAAATGTTCTCTTCTCGCACAGTTAAAAATTAGCAAAAATATATATTTTTCATATATTTAATATAATTTTAAATTGCAAAATAACAGTTTTATATCTTTTAACCTGGTTTGGTGACACTCACTTATTCGATTAAAAAAATTAACATGCCACCTCTATTACTTTATACGCTAGTAGCATATTATACAATATATTTAATACATCAGCTTAATTAGTTCATTACATTATTAATTTAATTAAGTAATTAAAAACAATAAAAAAGCAGAATTGTATACACCAAAAGCTCACCTCTACTAGTAAGATTATCAATATTATTTTGAACCCTTATAGTAATTGCGAGGTGCTTTTGTTTATTTATAACGCTCAAACATAAAGCAATGTTGTATCAATCTGTTTTTTTATGATGTTTGATAGCTATTAGGTTATACAAGACGTGATTGTATATGAAATAGATTTTGGAAAATGTTAACATAGTAATTGCGTGATAATACGTAGTTACCAGACTTGAGATAACTGCTGAATTTGTCTCAGTATTCAAGTTGGGAATAATTTATCGTTTACGATTAAATTGATTAAAGTTTAAGAAATACTATTATGATAAGTGTAAGAAGTGACGGCCTAATGGTTCAAACATATCCCTGAGATCGTAGGTTCGATCTCCGGCTGTGCACCAATAAACTTTCTGTCTATTCGCTTGAACGGTGAAGGAAAACATCGTGAGGAAACCGGCTTACGTTCGACCCAAACAGTCGACGGCATATGTCAGACACAGGAGGCTGATCACCTACTTACCTATTAGATTGACAAGTGATCATGATACAGATGCAGAAATCTGAGGCCCAGAACTAAAAAGGTTGTAGCGCCACTGATTTATTTATTTTTATTTAAAGAGGATCTGAAGCAGAAAATCTTTTTTTATCTTTTTCATGATCTTTTGTCAATCTAATAGACAAATCAGGTGATCAGCCTCCTGTTCCTACCACATCGTCGACATTTGTGGTTAATTGCGTGTTGATATCCTCACAATGTTTTTCTTCACCCTTCGAGAGAATGTTAAATATGCACATAGAAAAAAAGTCCATTGGTGCACAGCTGGGGATCGAACCTACGACCTCACGGATGAGAGTTGCACGCTTAAACCACTAGGTCAACACTGTTCATGTCGTATTAAATCTTATGCCAAAAATAGCATTAAAAATCCTGCAACTAGGCAAGTAATTGCATTCCTAATCAAAACAGAAGTCACTGATTGTGAAAAATGAGAGTTTCAACCACATCATTAATATCTATTGCATGGTTGTACTTTTTCCCTAAATAAGCCAGTGACAAATTCACGAAGGCAACTCTTTTGTGAGGGAGAGATAAAAATTGTGCTTTTTCCTGCTTCTGACAACCCTGGAGACTCACTAACTATGAGCGATGAGTGGCTCGCCCCTGGAATTAGAGGAGAATGGGGTCACGTGACTACTCGGTCTAACGACCACGGATTGCCACCACTGATGTTTTCTTACACCCCTACATCATTATCCAATCAACTCCGCATCAACTGGAAATAAATATTAATTATTTATATTATGGTTTCACTGACTGACTTTTGAAGGCAATTTTGTATTGATACAATCTAATAGTGCAAATTACTTTAGAGTTATTCACAAAAAAAGAGAAAAACTAAAAAGTTGTTTATAGGAACGTATTGTAACGTATATTTAAAACACTTTAAACTTATTTAAAATAAAAAAGTACTTATAAAGTTTTAACAAAGAATTCGTGTAAAATATTGGTTATAATTTATAAACAATTATAGCTGAATTTTTTCCGAAAATACTCACAGTTGTTAACTAATTAAATTTGTAGTTCGCAATACTGTTTTCGTGTTTTTCCACATTAAAACACTTGCCGTAAAACATTTTCATTTCATTAACTAAGGCTGCACGCATTCGACATAAGAAGCACGCTCAAACCGCTTGTTTATATGTATTTTAGGACCTATTAAAACTGTTAATACCTCCTCAGAGTTATACAAACCGTTATTTTGAGTTAACTGTGCGATAAAACTCATTTAGTAACCCTTAAAAATCTTATCCGACCCAATTCACCCCACTCTTCCGTAATACTGAACCTAACAACGTTTTAATCAATTCTCCACAGAGTTCGCGAGTCAGCGCGTTAGAGACTCATTACGTGGACCCCAAATAAATATAAACAGTAGTGGAAGGGGCTTTCGCAGTAAACATTATTCACACGCGCCACTACATTCACAAATAAGGAGCGTGCAAAAAAACACAGAATCAGTGCGGTTCATAAATTAGATTCATTTGTTTCAAGTAGTTATTTGCCGGTTCATAAAGTCTTACCCCTGCTTGGGCGCCAGCCGAGAAACGCCCGAGGCTAGGCGCCGCGACGACCCGCGCCTTTGCCAAATTGTCGCCTCTCCGTCATTCCTAAACTTAGCTTTCTGGCTACCGAACGCCGTTAAGGCTGATTTTACTTGGGGCATGTTGTGTGATACCATTTTCTGCTTCATAAACTGCATGTACGACGGCTTTTGGTTCGAAAGCCAAATCACGTTGCTTAAAATTAGCCAACAGATAAATTTTAGTGCGCTGTAACTTCTGATAATGGACCAATCACAGCGTGGGCGTATTGTCTTTGTAGACTGCACTGTATAGGTTTAATACTAGAGAGAACTGTTTTGTTTTTTAACCGACATTAAACATGGGAAATATTGTTTAAAAAAACACAGGTTATAGTATGATTATTGGTTGGCTTCTAATTAAATTGAGGGTATTTATCAAATGTTCCATACGATTTGGGATATTTTATAGTAATTTTAATCTGATGAAAGGAAACGAAAACTACGTAGTTACAAAGATTTTTTAATAATTATCGGACCAATTCTTTATTTTTATTACAGTGAACACACAGATTAATAGAAAATACGCGGATTAGTCTATTTAAATATAAAATAATTTTAATATATTTAGTAAACAATGTCAGTAACATACGAAACATGATATATATCAAAATATTTACATTTCCAGTAACAGTAAAAAAAATATAGAATGTTTTATCGTTCATAACGTTGTACTATCATTAGTGTCATGTGAAACAAATTGGATTGAAAACTAGCCGTGTGCAGTGCAATTTATTTGCGGAATTGCAAATTAACCAAAAGGTGTTTTTATAGGGCGACAATAAATTTATCCAGGACATGTGGTATTCACTACGGCCAGTCCTTGACAATTTAATGTAGATAATATTCAAACGCATTCTATTTACGGAATATCCAAGGGGTAGACAGATTGTCTATGAAGATAACTGTGAACTTTAACGTAGAATTCACAGAATATAACGGACGCATTGTAGAGAAGCGTTGGTCTAGTAGCTTCATCGTGCGAGGCTAGGTTCGATCCCCAGCTGTGCACCAATGGACTTATTTCTGTGTGCGCATTTAACAATCGCTCGAATGGCGAAGGAAAACATGAGGAAACTGACTTGCCGCATACCCAGAAAGCTGATCATCTATTTGCTTTTTAGATTGACAAATTATCATGATACAGAAATCTGAGGCCCAGACCTAAAATGGTTGTAGCGCCACTGATTTATTTTTATAGCTTTTATACTAGCGTCAAAATTACAAACAAAATAAAACATATACAAAATAGTAGGCTTTTATAACCGAAGGGAAACGATGCAGTTGAAATAAAACCGTTGCTAAATTGAGAAAAAACTTTGATTCTTTCTTCATTAAAAAAACGACTTCCAGTTTCATATACTATCGTATCAATATTTCAAAGAATATTCCTCACAAAAGAAAGCTATGAAGTAATCGATCACTCATATTAAAGTGCCCCAAAACTACAAAAAAGGTAATAATATTATTCATGCCATAAAATAATAACGATACTCAGCACGACTAGCGAAATCTGAAAGTGAATTGTAGCGAGTAGAAAAAAGAATGACTATAAGTGGATAAAGAGCGTATACAAACGAAACAGTCATTTTATGCCGCACGGTGACGCAATTGGTAAATAATATAGAATTTTGTGTCATATTAACCAAAGTTTAAGGTCTACATTTGAGGAACGACACGACAACGTGGGTAAGTTCAATAAAGCTTCCCCCAAATAAGCCATAAAACGAACGGCATCGGGCGCCACGGCCTTTCGGGTAGGTACGTTCCCAGCACCAATTATTTGTTTGTGGAGATGGAGGCACAATAATTTTATTTTAGGTTTTATTTAACATTTATTTCGTTCCGGCAATTTCATGGGTATCAAAGTATTGCTAGATTGTGATTTAAGCGAAATTGCTCATTTTCCACTTCGTTCGCATTATAACGATGCGATTTGGCATCAAGTTATTATTTTACTACGCTTGATATTTGTATTTTTATTCATGGCCGAAAACGTTTCTTAACGTCTCATTTGAAACGCAAATTGAGTTCTGGCGTTTTGATTTGTGTTGTATCGCGTTGATTATCAAATCTAGAAAATGTGCGTCATCATTTATGCGATTCACTTTGTCGATGAATTCAATGCTGACTATAGATAGAATGAACTTAATTAATCAATTGACATCACCGTTTATAGTGATCGCAAATGCGTCGCGACAGGTAGACGGTCGCTCGTAAATAAATAAACAATAAACTGGGATTACACAGTTCAATTGGAGATCAGGCGATGTGCGGTTTCGGTTAACAGCCGAACCCGACGGGAACCTATAGCCGTAATTCAATGATCGTAAACGCCGGCAATGATATCAATTAGACGGGGTTCGGGACCGATAAAGTTCTGCTTTAATTAGGAGAACAAACAACAGACGATATTTAATGAGGCGTGCGCACGCGGGAGAGAGGTAATTAGGTCGGGGAAGGCAGACTGAGCAATCAATTATTATTGAGCCACGCTGATTGATTCGCCCGCTCTCTGCGGTCTGCCATTGGCCCGCACCGTTTCACCATTTTATTAGGAACTGGATTAATTGCAACTTTTTAAGTTTTCTTTGGTCCGGAAATCTAAGCTATGAGACCCAAACATTCCCGATTTTCCCTGTATCACCAGCGTACCTGCTTCGAGGTTTCGGTCCATTGAACATTTTAAATTATAGCCTCGTAATCGTTCACCAAACGCGTGGCCAGCACCATGAATTATAATCAATCGAAAACTCAACCATCTGTATTAATAACTCAACAATCGACTCGAGTTTCCGGACTCGATATCTGATGTCTTACTAATAGCTGTCAGAAGGGTGAGCAGCTGTAAACGACGTAGGTATAAATTATCTATAAAATAAGGACATTAAAAACCATTTAGGGCAATAACTATTCTGTGAATGGCAATAAATAAATTGAATAATTTATTCTGATACTGGAGTGAATGTTAGAGGTGTCAGTTAATGGAGGAGAGGGGGAGGACAAAGCGCCCCCGGAGCGCTATTGTCGAATTACCCTGCCCGTGACATCTGTCCGAATAGCAACAATAACTCGCAAAAAACTCGGATTCACCAACTAAAGAGTAACCAAACGTAAAATATATCTACGTCTTCATTGACAGTATTGTTGCCAGTGACATATCATTTATTCTATTTTTAATTTAGAACCAGTACGGTGGTCCGTTTAATAGGAATTGTCACAATATTGTAAGAGGTGATAAATTTTGCCATTTCAGGGTGCTTAATGTTAGATGTGAAATGTTTTGTGTTGAAAGACGATCTTATTCCAATTTGATGTTTCACTTTTCCGTAAATAAGTAGAAATACGTTTATATAGAGTTGATTTGTGTAACAAGAATTTCTATGTATTACTGCGATTATTATATGTGTTATATAAGACAATAAACCAATAGCGGTACAACCTTTTAGGCCTCAGATTTCTGGGGAGGAATGATCACGAAACTATATGTTTGTTTGTATCTAATAGCGTCGCCTTTTAGAGTTTAAAGCATGCCGATTTCCTCACGACCTTTTTCTTTACCGTAGGCGAGTGATATTTGTGCACATAGACAGAAAATCCTTTAGTGCACAGCAGGGAATTGAAGCTGCGACCTCAGGTCTGAGAGCGGCAAACTGAAGGTACCTACTAGGGCAGCACTGCTCTTATGAGTTACATAGATCTTACAAATACAATTCACAATGTTAATAATGTAATAATATTGTTCAAAAAAGAAAATGCAAAGAACCAAGCTGTAACTCTTGATCAATTCAAAGGTTCTAATTAAACGTGACAAGCTTAACCCATAAGAATTATTCATCAAAGCGGAAACTTTGACAGAAAGAGACGAAAGTCTATTTAAAAGAGTGCAATTAGACTTAATTGTTGTAAATAAGAGATTTTTTTGTAAGTTTTATTAGATGTTTGATGCCGTAATATGGCTGTCCGCCATAGGACCATCAAACTAGACAAAATAAACTGGTTCCTAATCTAGTTGACTGCATGTTAATTATTTATTTTTTTATAAAGAACTAGCAGACCGGCCAAGCGTTGCTGTGGCTAAGGTTTTTGTTATACTACATAGTAGCAAACTATTCAAGGGAAACGGTAGGAGAACACCAGTCATGGGGACCACCATGCTGTATGGTGGTTATGCCATTAAATTGTAGCTTATGTGAAACGTTGGTACTTTCAACACAGCGCCATCTGTTAGAATTGTGACTATCAAATAATAAACAAATATTTTGCAATAAAATAATATTGCGGGTATAAATTGAGATGTAAGCTATCCTATCTTTTAAGTTAGATCAAACTACACACAGTGTGCAAATTTGATTGAAATCGGTTCGGTAGTTTAGGAGCCCATAGCGGACAAACAACGTGACACGTAATTTATATATATTAAGATAATTTAAAATCTCTAGTAGCAATTTTTGTAAATATGTGAGCACCATGTATCCAATAATAATTCAGTTATCTGCTGCATTGGTTTTTATAACAACTATTTAATTTCGTATAGTGGTCTTTTTTCTGGGCTTCACATATGATTATCAAATCAATATTGTAAAAACTATTTTAAAAGAGTAAGTATGGAGTTTCTTGCCTATTCATTTCCATATGAAACTGCCTTTTGGAAGGGGCAACTAGAGTTTTTTTTTTAATATTTTTAACATGTCAAGTGTGTTCTTAAATTGTATATTATAAGTATTTCAAAAGTATACCTATACTTTTGATGTTAAAGAATAGCGCCGCCCATCTTCTCATGACTTAAAAAGGAGATCATCCGTTTAAACTGTAAGTATTGATGGAATAAGTTTGATAATCAGTTTACCTTCTAAGCTGAAAAATTTCGTGCGTTTATGCGTACTAAGACGGTTACAGGTAAGACATGTAACACGCCGAACTTCATAAAATGTAGAAAAAGTTATTGTGTACCAGGGCACCAGACTAGACCTGGACTGATCTAGTAAAGACCCTTACAGATGATGCCCTGGCGCAGAGGCTTGCCGAAAACAGAGGAAAGTGGAGGAAGTTGTCCGGAGCCACTAACCCGACCTTCAAAAATT